AGACGCCTAAATTAAATAGATTGGGAGCGATTGACGAATTTGTGAACCACGCCCAGTCAGCACCACGTCCAAAACCCGAATGTGCAATGACTCTAACACTGAGTCCCAAAATCTCTACGTTCCAGGGCTCTGTACCTGAAGTTTTTGTAAAGCTATTAATCCATCAATACTGCACTTGAACGGGTCCACAACTACGTCAGGCAACATGGAGATTTATGTCACCTTCGTTCCCAGGCGCGCACTTAACTCTGGCATAAGAGCTTTGGCGCTGCTTAAAATTCCATAGCAATAAAATTATAAACGACTAACTTTACTATAGACTAGAATGTAAAGACTGGTTCGTAATTTAATCAATATTGTCCACAGTTAAATTTAACAGAAAGATCAAAGTTACTGAATTACTTTAACAAAGCTAGAGACGCCTAAATTAAATAGATTGGGAGCGATTGACGAATTTGTGAACCACGCCCAGTCAGCACCACGTCCAAAACCCGAATGTGCAATGACTCTAACACTGAGTCCCAAAATCTCTACGTTCCAGGGCTCTGTACCTGAAGTTTTTGTAAAGCTATTAATCCATCAATACTGCACTTGAACGGGTCCACAACTACGTCAGGCAACATGGAGATTTATGTCACCTTCGTTCCCAGGCGCGCACTTAACTCTGGCATAAGAGCTTTGGCGCTGCTTAAAATTCCATAGCAATAAATTAGCTAACACATCCAAAGTGTTGTGAGAACTATAACATTAAGTTATTTAATTTATTGCGCCCCGCGCGCCGACATATATATATCATAAATATCCGATATTTTCGAACCCTGCTTTCAATATTACAATCTGTAACAAATTAGCCCGCGTTGAATTTTGTCTGTCACAGAAAAACTTTATCGCGCGCGTCCCTGTTTCAAAAACCGCGATAAAAACTATCCTATGTCCTTTCCCGGGACTCAAACTATCTCTATGCCAAATTTCACCAAAATCGCTTCAGTGGTTTAGGCGTGAAAGCCAGACAGACAGACAGAGTTACTTTCGCATTTATAATATTAGTAGAGATGAACTACACTGAAATGTCCCACCGCCGACATTGACAGAAGGGCGCCACCATCTTCGTTCAACAACATGGTTTCCACCGTGGTAAAAGTCGGAACTAGCGATCCGCTATTGACGGTGGCCCTCAGTGTCAAATAAAGGACAGTTCAGTGTAGTTCTTCTCTATAGATGACGTGCTTGACAGATCATTCAAATCTGAAGCGTCATTGACGTTTGACGTCTCAAAAACAGTCCCGCACTGACTCAATAAAGCGCTAGATCTACAGGGTGTTAGGTAAATGGGTATATGAGCCGACACTAGCCCATGTTGACATATGCATATAAATGGTATGGTGAAGTCAGAAAATTTATATCTTCATTTTAATTATTTTAATTTTTATACAAATCGGATGTTATAAAATTTATTTAGTATGAAAATTAAAAAAAAATAAAATGATATCAAATTTCTGACTTCACCATACCATTTATATGACCATGTTAACATGGGTTAGTGTCGGCTCATATACCCATTTACCTAACACCCTGTATAGTATGAATTCAATAAACACTTTTGCCTCCGTATATCCACTTTGTATCTTGATAAAGTACACTGAGTCAGTGACTGCCGGTCGGAGTGCGATACGATACGCGTCCTTTGTTTTACTCCACGTTCGTGTTTAGAAACGTGATTAATTTCATTGTTTTTAATATTTATGTGTTTTCTTACTTAACTTTGTGGAGATTTTGGATCATACAAAAATAGTGGATAAAAATAACAACATTTTTACACCCAGTTAGGACTGTTTTACTCTCAGATTTTACTTCAAAAAGTCGCTTAAGTACGTGTAAACTTATTATAGTTTATAAAGAAAGAAAGAAAATACATTTATTTGGCATACTAGAACAACAAATTACAGATATTAATACGTTAAAAAAATTCAAACTATAATTCTAACTATTTTAATTAGGTAAATCCATCCAATAGATTTTGTGTCAAGGTGTAACAAACATCCTTACAAATTTTCTAGTTTATTAAAATGTGAATCTTTAAAAAAAAATGAGATTTCAAATCGTTAAATCTTTCAACGCCAAATGGTCACATGACAATTTGACAATATTTATATTTTTTCTTTATTCAGAAAATGCATTGATTGTAATCGTGGAAGGTGACGTGTTAACTGTTGAAGTAAATCAATTAGTATTTTGACTTATTAGAATAACATTCACAAAGAAAATAAACAAAACATTGTGAATGTTTATCTAAAATTAACCAAACCTTGGTTTATTTAGTTCATACTGATAAGTAGACCGCGTTTCGACTGTTTAACTAACTTGCGGATAGTAATATAAACAATACTAGTAAAATACTACATTTAAAAGTCTCAAGTTCACAGAGTATTTTAAAAAAATACTCCAAAACTAAGGCTGGGTTGTACGATCTTACTTAAAAAAAAAACTTTTTTTAATTTTTTAAAATTTCAAATTTAAAAAAATATATTTTAATATGTAACTTAATGTTAGATTCTCTAAGACCCTAATGAATGAATTGATTATGAATTGATTATTATAATTCTTAAAGATGATTTGACTTCTTAAAATTTTTGAATGTCTTGACAAGACGGAAACATGTCGAGCTTGATTATATTTTCACTGACACCTGTATGTACCTACCATGTTTCCGTGCAAATAAATAAATTAGTATCTAATCTTATCTTAACTATAAGAAACGCCAAAATACCGTCAAACTCTATGCAAAAAACACCGGTTATTGTTATTTTTACGGTTACTGTAAGGTGATGCAACTTCGCCCAAGTCTAAAAAAGTTTAATAGTGTAAATAACAAGTAAAGCTTAGGTGAAAATACCAGTGCTAGTTCAAAACTAAAAATAGAAATCAGATATTTAAAATTGCATTTACATAAATAACAATTTATTAAATTATTAATTATTTAATTAAGGCTCACTTGCACGACAATATGTTTCTATTATCTTTTTCTGTTGGATATTTAGTTGTCCTAAAAAAATTTTGAAATAATACCCTCTGTGCATTGTGTATCTTCTTAGATATTTTTGCACGCACACCTAAATAAAGGTATAAAATAATCTAAGATCGAGTAATTGCGATCATCGGAATCCGAGTCAAAAACGACGTGAATATTTTTCAGTTGTACTACTCTTTACTTAGGTGTGAAATATCCTATTTATGTCTTACTAAAGTGCAAATTACCCTTAAATCGTTATTCAAACACAATTTCACCATCTAAACTATAGTCCGGCCCCCGAGCAGATAGAATTTCGTCCAATGACCCCAAGCTACCCATCCTTATCGCTCGCGTTTAGGTAATTATATTGCTATCGCTCTCGCATACTCTATCATTGGACGAAATTCTATCTGCACGGCGACCAGACTTTAGTGACCAACAAGTGCTAACTAATTCAAAAACAAACAGAGACCAACCAGTGCTAAACTAAAGTAACAAACCTAAAAAACAAAAAACAAAATGGCCGCCTCTGCTGAGTTACCCGCTCAATACCACGAGATGGAGAAGCACATCACTGACCTGGAAAATGTGAAGACTGAAGAAGAATTGAATAAGAAGCTGGACAATATGAATAGATTCGGTTTCTCCATCAGCAACTGGATGAAGTACTTGTTCAATAGGGACACGAAGAACGAGGTCTTTGATCCGATTTGGTTGACAGTAAGTTGAGAATTTGATAGGGATTTTGCTTTAAAAAACTGTATTTCATAAATTGTTAAAACCCCTCGAACTGAGCTAAATATTAGAGCCGTGAAGACTTCATACTAAGCTAATATGCGGATTATTCCACTTTGTTCACCTGGGTGAAGAAAGTGGAAATGAGGACATCATTTCACCTCGAAATCATTTCACCTAGTTTCATTCTCCAGGTGAATTGAGCCTACTAAAGCGGTCGCCTTTGTTCACCTAGGAATTAATTCTCCCAGGTGAACAGATGCGAAAACCTGGGAGAATTAATTAACCAAGGCGGCTGCTTTACTCGAATCAATTCACCTGGGTGATATCATAATCTGACTGAAATAGTTTCGAGATGAAATGAGGACACAAAAAATTCCACTTTCACCTAGGTGAACAAAGTGGAATAATCCAAATAAACGAATTTTGTGTCACGAGTGGGTTCACTTCACCACAAAGTGGAAAAATTTATCTTTTAAGAAAATAGGTTGTTGTAACCAGGAACAGCTTATTGATTTTTCATCATTGAAAAAACAACAATCATCAATATGTATTTATCATAATTAGACATGCGGATTATAATTAATCTTAGTAATTAACTGTACGACAATACATGACTGGTAGTTAATCCGTATTTTTGATAAGGTCACGTTTCCTATAGCATTGTATGTTATTATTTATTTAACCTTTGTAGTCTAATGCTAAAACCACAGGTTTTGTATAAGTCTACTTACTACTTAGTAGGAGCCTTATCTAAATCTGTCGCCATAACAACAATTTTAACAGCATTGTTGTGTTTCGGCAGGTGGAGGTAAGATATCCAGTTCTTCTGTGGTTGTGGATTCTGAGTAAAACTAGCTTAGTGTATTCTGGCCGTTCTGGGAGCATTCCAGGAATCTGGCGAACCTAGCCAGGAATTTCCCGATTGTGGTTGACCCTTTGTAACTCGGATTATAGGGTTTGGGAAAGACATTAACAGGCAGCGATTGCCAGCCCGCAATTGTTCGCATTATGAAATCTAAATCAGATAAAAAAATATTTGTTATCCTTCACAATTCAGGTACACAATACAATATAAATTAGGCCAAGAATTTCTAACCTAAAGTGCGAGGGATTGGTGCCTGAAATAGGTTTCAAAAGAGAAACCTGTGCTACGGGTCACCAGGCCTCACCCCAGGCCCGAATGACGTTTAATATTATAAAGTTAACGAAACGCTTAATGCGCTCTAATTAACAAAAAAATCTTTGCCTACAGATAGACGAGTACAAAACGCAAGCTGAAGAGAGCATGCAGAACGCCTGGCGAGTGATCCAGCTGCCCAACTGGACGCTGGAAAAGCGAGGAGCCAACGGGGACCTGGTGGAGTCCAAGAGAACCGACCAGCTCGGGAAGGTCTATAGGTTTACGGTGAGTTGTACATTGGGTGGTTCACGTTAAACTGGTCATACACCAAGCTGAAGAGAGCATGCTGAACGCCTGGCGAGTGATCCAGCTGCCCAACTGGACTTTATCGTACGTTATGAACTGTCAAATGATTACGATTGCTTTACACAATTCCACCCCAGCTCGGGAAGGTCTATAGGTTTACGGTGAGTTCTACCATTGGGTGGTTCACGCTAAACTGGTCATACACCACATTTAACTTCGAACTCCTATGTTCTCCTGATAAACTGGCGACGTCACATTTATATTTTTAACTTCTTCTATATATTCTTCTCGTCGATTTCGTTGCGGATCCAATGACAGTTAAATTTCCCATTCATTCAAACTTGGCTTTCACTGCTGAAGTTTTTGTTGGCAGTCAAGATGTAGTCCCTGGCTGCAGAAAAGATGCAGGTGATGGTGAAAAGAATACCTTTTTATAAGGGTTCGTACAGAGACAGAATGTAAAACATTTTAAACTTTCGCGTTCCATTTCAATTAAAATAGAAAGACACGGGTCTTAACGCGACATTTCATAAATGTCAGCGTGTACCGATAACACTCAAACATTAGCAGAAGAATGGTGGGGCGCGTCTTAGTGGATGAAACGATTTATAACAGTTGTATCGTGCTTGCGTTTCAGGGTATCGTCGAGTGCCCACCAAAGTTCCTGTTCGAAGAGTTCAGAGATAACCTCACGAAGCTTCCGGAATGGAACCCCACCATTTTGAAGAGCGAGCTCATCAAGGTATGTCAGAGCCTTAACAACAGTTTAGTTTATGTTTGATATGTGTGCAAAATTAGTATTTTTCTATTTCATCTGGTCCATCTGTCTGGAATCTTGTAGCAGAAGCTCAACCTATATTTTTTCCACGTATTACGTCGCGGTTCGTCCCTTCATGCTGCGTTCCATCGCTTCATGTCGCGTTTCGTCCCTTCATGTCACGTTTCGTCGCTTCATTTAGCGTTCTGTGCCGTCGTTTCAAGTCGCATTCCGAGGCTTCATATTACATTCCGTAGCTTTATATCGCGTCATATCGCGTTCTATCCCGTCATATCGCATCATATCGCGTTCCATCGCTTCATGGCCCGATTCGTCGCTTCATATCGCGTTCCGTCACGTTATATCGCGTTCCGTCACGTCATATCGCGCGTTTGGTCGCGTCATATCGCGTTTCGTCGCGTCATATCGCGTTCCGTCGCTTCATGTCGCGTTCCGTCGCTTCATATCGCGTTCCGTCACGTCATGTCGCGTTCCGTCACGTCATATCGCGTTCCGTCACTTCATATCGCGTTCAGTAGCTTCAAGTCGCGTTTTGTCCCTTTATATCGCGTTCCATCGCACTCCGTCTCTTCATATTACATTCCGTAGCGTTATATCGCGTCATATTGCGTTCCATCGCTTCATATCGCGTTCCGTCGCGTTATATCGCGTACTGTCGTTTCATGTCGCGTACCGTCGTTTCATGTCGCGATCCATCATCTCTTTTTGTCGCGTTACTGTTGCGTTCCGTCGCTTCCTGTCGCGTCATGGCGCGTTCCATCACGTCATATCGCGTTCCGTCTCTCCGTAGGGTTCCGAGGCTTCATATCGCGTTCTGACGCTCTATATCGCGTTCCGTTGCTTCATTATATTGCGTTTTGTCGCTTCCTATAGCGTTGACCTCTACAAACCATATTTTTTATAGGAAATCGCACCAGGTATCGACCTCTCGTACCAAGTGACCGCGGGCGGCGGTCGCGGTATTATCGCTCCGCGCGACTTTGTCATACTGCGACGAGCGGCCATGCTGTCGCGCGACGGTCGCGTGGTAACGGAGGAGCCCCACAGTTACATCAGCAGTGGGATTAGTGTGCAGGTGCCTGGGTACCCGCCGCATAGGGATATGGTCAGGTGAGTGGGCAAAAATTGGTTTTATATGGTTGGAATTTTTTTGGCAACAAATTACCGCAATAGGTGTCATGTCAATTCATAAACTTACACATTAAAAGTTAGTCTAAAAGAGTTATTCTAAAGATATACAATTATTTAATAGATAAAAAAAAACTGACTAACTCATCCCAACATATTTTTCTTATTTCAACATAAAATATAGTCATGTACAAAAAATTTGAAAAGTTTTGGATCGATTATCGTCGGCACGAAAAAAGCATGTGCAAATTCGTCACACTTGTATAATTTGTAACAAATTACTTTGGAATATTGCTAGTTATGTTTTTAATTTTTATGTTCAATTTTCAATGTATGGAACTTACAAAAGTGTGACGAATCGACTTTGTGGCAAATAAAGAACAACCTGTTTTGGAAAAAGGGGTGTATTGCCCCAAATCATACCTATAATTAAAAAACTGTATCAGTGGCCTTTAAAAGCTAAATAACTGGAATTAAATTTTAACACATTCTGTGGATTTAGACACCAAATGTCAAAACTTTTTCTTTTTGTGCCTCGTGACGTAACTTTTTGATCGATTATGGGGTAAATGTGCGTATTTCGTCCGTCCACAGAGGCCACAACAAGGTGGGCTGCTGGTACATGAAGCCGGTCAACGGCAAGTCGTCCGGCGGCCGTATAGAACAGTTCACAAGCTTCCAATGGCTCATGTGCTGCGATCTTAAAGGTGAGGATAATATAATTTATTAATCGAGTAACAGAGGTGGAATTGTGTAAAGTAATCGTAATCATTTGACAGTTCATAACGTACGATAAAATCAGACAAAGCGTTTGACAGAAAATCGTACGTTATGAACTGTCAAACGAATACGATTGCTTTACACAATTCCACCTCTGGTCTGCAAGATTTAAGATAGAAAGAATCAAATAGGTTCAATAGGATTTTAATAATCTTTGTTTATTTATTTATTCATTTAATCGAATATATTATCGTAAAATCAAGTTTCGATTACTTTGACAATTTTATAATGGATTAGACTGTCATGAAACTAAGAGATATTATCGGTTTAATCAATTCTATCGAATCTTATTTAAAAATCGATCATTTGGTCTATTTAGAAGCTCAATAACCTCTGTATTCAAAAGACCCAGAGGTCCCAGGTTCGAATACCAGTGGAAGCAAAACTTGATTTAGGAGATTGTGCTCCTTTAGTGAATGACCTGATGATGATGATGACAGGAAACTTACATTTTCCATACCAGCATTTTTATTGCATTCAAAAGTTCCCAAAGTGTTACTTAGTTTTTTGGTAAGGTACTAAACCTAAACCCTTTTCTTTTCCAGGAAAAATACCTCAATTCGTCCTTGACGCAGCGTTCGCTTCAGTTATGCTAGACTACATTGTCCACGTCAGAAAATTCGCAGCTGAATCCAAAGCAGCCGGAAAATTCTAGTCCAAAGACGTTTCAGTTGTGTGACAGACGCTACGTTTCAGCGACGTTTCACACGCGAGAAACTGAAATAGTGATGTGGAATGAACGTTTCACACGTGAGAAACTGAAATAGTGATGTGGAATGAACGTTTCACACGTGAGAAAGTGTGGTGGAATGTGATATTTCATTAGTGTAATTTTGTGACAGTTTCGTGTGTGTGAAATGTGAATAATAGTTTCAGTTGTGATTTAAGTTTCAAAAGGAAATAGTAAGTATAAATATTTGTGAACATGTTTTATACCATTAAAGGCCGATTTTTTAATCGTCAGATATCTTTTAACTGAAGGATAAACTTGTCATTTTGACATATTTCCCATACTAACTTATTCTTCAGTTAAAAATTATCCGACGATTGAAAAATCAGCACTGATATAAATAAGCATTGATGATAGTTTTAGATATAAGTGAATACGGTGTTGTTACAATGTTCCACAACATTAAAAGACATTTCAACTGTGACAAAGTTACACTACTGAAAATGTTACAATTTCAACTGTGAACATTATTTCACAAGTGAATAATTGCGTTTCACAAATTTGACAGTTCCATCAGTGACATTGTTTTACAATTGAACTTTAATTTGAGTTTCTTAAGTGATGTTTATAATGGCGTATACATACAGGGTGTTAGGTAAATGGGTATAAAGCTAACACTCGAATCAAATTTAGTTTCCCATAAGATAGGCCCCCTTAATTGATATTTATTGTCCGTGGTGCATAATCTTTTCTTAAAGTTTTTAAACCTTTGTCACCTGTCATCCGCTTTGCAATGGAGGGAAGTCGAACCTTAATTTCGAACTCCTCCTATGTTCTTCTGATTAATTTCGTTGCGGGTCCAATGACAGTTTAACTTTCCCCCGGGACAAACTTGACCTTCATTGGTTGGGTTATTGGCGGTCAAGCTGTAGATCCTGGCTACACAGGAGTTGCAGTGGTGGGAACGAGAAGTGGGAATAGTCCCGTACCTAACACCCTGTATAGATATAGCGTTTAACTGGGTTAGTGCCTGAGGTTTGGGAGCGGCACGGGACATACAAATCTGAAGTCTCGCTGACGTTTGACGTCACAAAAACACCATCCCGTGCCGCTCCCATACCTCAGGCACTAAGTTAAGTAAAGACCTATAGTTTCTAAAGCCTGGTCCGTGAGCACGTAGAATTTTGTTCAATGACCCCAAGCTACCCATCCTTATCGCTCGCGCGTAATTATGTTGCAATCGCGCTCGCACACTCACTGCGGGCGCCCGTCGCACAGTCGCGACAGCAATACAATTACGCGCGAGCGATAAGGGTGGGTAGCTTGGGGTCATTGGACAAAATTCTACGTGCTCACGGACCAGGCTTTATTATAATTATGTTTCAAATGCTAACTATTGTGATTTATTTGTCTATGGATTATGTATATCGTAAGTTTATTTTCTGTAAAATGAATCGAGTGATTTTCATCGTATATTTTCCGATACGTCCTGACATTGTAATTTGAGTTCTGTTCCTCTGTGTTACAGTTGAAATTTGTTCTAACATATTTAGTTAGAGTATAATATACATTTATTTACTTAGGGTGCATTGATTAATGAATTAGGAAATTCTATATACTTCCATTTGATATAGTTTTTGAAATATGAAAAAATACATGCTCATTAAAAAGCTTCAATTATATTCAGGGTATTTAGCGAAGCTTTTATTACTATACAGATTATTTAGTATTAATAATTAAAAAATCTTTTTTTTTAACTTTTTTTAATAAATGTATTTTCAGTGAAATGTTATTGACAGCTATATTTACTATTATTATTATGTTTATTAAAAATTATTATTGTTTTGTAATCCTAGCATGACATTTTATATTTTTACAATGGCATAATATCCTAAAGACCACCTTATACAGTTGTAAAAGGGTCTATCTATATTAAAACTCAAAAGGTGACTGACTGACATAGTGATCTATCAACGCACAGTCCAAACCACTGGACGGATCGGGCTGAAATTTGGCATGCAGGTAGATGTTATGACGTAGGCACCCGCTAAGAAAGGATTTTACGAAACTCCACCCTTAAGGGGGTAAAACGGGATCCACGCGTACGAAGTCGCGGGCGGCCGCTAGTTTTGCAATAAAACTGTTGCGCGAAACTTTAATAGTAATTAATTTGAGATTAGAGACCCTTTAGATCTGATCTTGTTTGCATTTAAAATAGTTTTTTTTTCCAATAAACGATTCAATACCTTAATACAAGGCAATATGGTTCAAAATGTAGCAATATTTAGGTACCATGTAAGTTTCATCTGAGCGATTTTAAACCTAAAAATGTATGGACATAAAGTTCAAATTGCGGTATTGCTGAAATTCGTCTAGAATCGAGTATTTAAAAAATATTTAGGTTTTTTTTTTTCACTTTTCTTTCTATATTTCTTTTTGTTTCTTTGTAGCCTTGATATTTCCATAGTTTAAAAGGTTTATTTATACAATGAAATTATATTACAAATGCTTTTGTATATGTTACGGCTAAAGATAGATGCGAACATAAACTTAAGATTAGCCGGCTAAACTTGAGTTTATCTTCGACGAGGTGTTAATGTTAGTTTCTTCTATCTTTAGCCGGCTAAACTTAAGTGTAACCGCAGGCCCTTGGCTATAAATGTAGAAGGAAATGGAAAAGGAAACAATGTAATAATATTTACTATTTGGACACGAAAACTTTATTAATTAATAATCACTTTCATTACACATACTTTTATGTACCTATGAAGGTATTCAAAATTACAATTATTACAATAACAAAATATTAATTACTTAAAACAATATCTAGGTACCTATCATTAAAATAAAATAATAAGGAACCATTTGGTCATTACAGAATCTTCTGTAGGTAGGTATTTAAAATTACAAAATAAAACAAAATAAAACTTCTTCAGTGTTAATTACTTAAAACAATATCTAGTCACAATTGTTAAATAATATGGAGCTATTCGTTGTCTCCCCACCGCCCCCTCAAGCCCTCCGCCGGCCTGGCGCGCCCATCGAATACATTTTTAGCCGTTTCGTTTTGGCTAATGTGCACATTAGCCGGCTAAAGATGGAACATCACGACACAAACTAACATGTTATCGTACTTTAGCTGCTTCTCGAAGATAAACTTAAGTTTAGCCGGCTAATCTTAAGTTTATGTTCATACCTATCTTTAGCCGTAACATATACACTAGATTCATTAGTATATTATGTACATAACTAATTTTATTTTTATCCCAATAAAAAATAGTTTTTATACAATTTATTATGCATTTGTGTAGCATAAAAGTAAATAGGTAGCCAATTATGTAATTTGTTGTAATCCTATATTTAAGCCCGGTCAGTGAGCACGTAGAATTTTGTCCAATGACCCCAAGCTACCATCCTTATCGCTCGCACGTAATTATATTGCTGTCGCGACTGTGCGACGGGCGTGAGTGTGCGAGCGCGACAGCAACATAATAACGCGCGAGCGATAAGGATGGGTAGCTTGGGGTCATTGGACAAAATTCCACGTGCTCGCAGACCAGACTATAGTTATAAATGGTCCTTTAGTATGTTTGTTTAATCTTTAATCAAGTACTGTGATGTATTTTATTAAAAAACAGTTCTTACTTTATTACTTCATCATCAGGTCATTTAGTCTCCACTGCAGGAACACGACCCTCTCTAATATACCAGAGGCAAATGGAGGATTTGTCCTACACTCCCCACGCTGGCCAGACGGGTTGGGGAGGCCTGATGTCCCCCATATTTGTCCCTTAGTCGCCTCTTACGGCATCCTCGGAAAGATGTAATGATTTTTTTTATTTCGGGTGAAATCAAGCTAAATACTAAAAAAAAATGTATAATGTGACAAGCTGTACTGTAGTATATTATGTAAACCACAGCTGGACTATGCTAGATTTTTAATACACAGTGATATTTAGAGATTGGTTGACATTAAGATGTATATAGGGTGAGGATGAAGTGTGTATATTAGGATTTTACTTACGTAGGGTGATGTCACCTGTTTGCGTCCACTGACTTATTCGCGTCCAAAAGACAAAAGTTAAAAAAGCAATAAAAATATTTAACAGTATCATATATTCAGGCATTCACAGATAGCATTATGATTTTTTACCATGTCGGCATGCCTATTTTTAACTCTATCGTGGTGTGAACTTGTATTGAGCGATGGACGTGAACAGGCGAAATGACCCTATAAGTTAGATGTATGAAACTTTGGATTTGCCCTAAAATGTCTATAATTTAATTGTATGCTGTTCCTAAATTAACTTGTAAAATTGGCCAGTGTTTTTTATTACAGCAGACTTAAATGTTAATTATGTGATTACAAATATCAGTTGTTCCCAAAATAATTCGACAACCAACTTTATATTTTTCTTACTTTCTAGTTCTCTTATGCAATAATTTCTACTATCTTTTCTGCATATTCTATGAATGAGATTAAATCGAGTTTTTAAATTTATTTTTTAGAAAACACAGCATTTTTTTACAAATGTAGAAATATTTTTTTCTGCAAATCCTGCAAAGGACAATGACCAAAAGTGGTCCAAATGTCCACCACTAATGAGACCTATATTGGCTTATAGTCCATTAAATAGAGATTAACTTTCAGTATGGGACAAAAAAAAAATAAGCTGTCAGTAAAAAGTTATGACTGTTTGAAAAATTGTAGTAGTTTACGCGCTAATCTTAGGAACTACTGGTCCGATTTGAAAAAATCTTTTAGTTATGGATAGCCCATTTATCAAAGATGGTTTAAGGATAAATAACATCACCCTACAACCAATAGGGGCGGAACAGTAAAGACAAATGTTGTAAAAATGGGAAAAAAATATTCAAACTATTTTCACGCGTAGAAAGTCGTAGGCACAGCTAGTATAATATTGAATAAAATTCATCTATAACCCCGCGCCACATGCGACATGACATAACATGCGTAGATTAGTCCAAAATGAGCAATCGATAGAATGATATCAAGAACATTTTTCGGATGAAAAGGTAAAAAACAGACTTTTCTTTCAGTCATAACTTTTTACTGACAGCATATTTTTGATTGCGGTTTGGTTATAATGAATCAGTATTTAGTAGACTATTTTACTACATAGGTCTCGTTAGTGGTGGACATTTGGACCACACTCCATACATTTTTGGTCATTGTCCTTTGATTTTAGTTTTCTAAGCATTATTTTGTAATAATTACCTGTCTGAAGATTTATTTTTGAGCACGACATAATAAATACAATATTTGTCTATTGAAATTACCTTTAAACGTTTATTTTCGTTGAACACTCACCGAAATTAAAAAGTATAGATCCATTGCGCTTTAAAATAGTTTAAGAATAGACTAATTTAGGTTAAGTAAAGTAATTTACTACAAAAAATAATAAACATTTTGTACTTCGCATGTGGTTTTGATTTTATTCATAACTCCCTCATCTTGTTTACAAGATGGTTTTTATCATAGAATGAAATGTTTATACTCAAAGCAAATGACTAAATCGTTTATGTATTCTAGGTGTAGTCGCAGGTTCGAATCCTACCTACTTATATCAAGACAATTTCCACCTCTCGTGCCCACCGCTGCAACTCCTGTGTAGCCAGGATCTACAGCTTGACCGCCAACAACCCAACCAGTGAAGGTCAAGGTGGTCCCTTTCCCCAATTTATACCTGTAGTATAGTTTATACAACCTAAAATAATATTATACTCGTATAAGGAAATTTTAACGCCATTATCTTGAAAACTGCG